CCTCGGACGACGGTGCGCTCCTCGCGTCTGGCTTTGTTATAACAAACACGTGGGAGATAGCGCTCTTGGCGTGGGTCTTTGCCAACGTGTACCGCAACTCGCATTGGTACGACGAGGCGTTGTCATGTTATAACTTACGATGGAGTTTAGGGTCGGGAGCGCCAAAATGGGGTCGAGCCCAATTGACAGCGTTGTCTCGCCGTCGCTCCGTGTCTGGAACACGACCAACCTCTTTGTTGCTGACGCGTCCGTGATTCCCGTGATTCCCAACGGTACGAGAAACGGACGAAAGTTGATTGATTGATATACTACTAGGCAACGTCCATTCGACCGTCGTCATGGTGGCGACCCAAGCCGCGACGCTCGTGGCCGCGGCCTTGGCCGACCAGGCGACCGTTGCCTAGTGCCAAGACTTACGTACGCTTGAATACACCTGCACACGAGTTGGCGTGTCCGACGTCTTGGTGTGCTTGTCGTGATGCTGTGAAAGAGTGGAAGAGACAAAAGTGTATGAGTATAAGAGTGAAGTCATTTATTGATCTTGTATATCACAACAGCTCTCTACCTTTCTGAATCAAACAACCAAGACGCCGGCGTTGTCGACATCGAATTAACGACCGACGGTCAACGCACCGTTGATGTATGGCGTCCTTGCAGGTAGAAAACGAGAGAAATGAATATACAGCGACTCAATGTGTCATGGATACATAGGTCGCACTTGTTGCCGTTCTCAGTGCCACAACGTCGACTACAGTGCGAGCGCTTTCAACATATCAAAGGATGCTCTTGTCTTGCGACTCGCATCAGCGCTGCGGCGCACCTTGCTGCTACCACCGCACGGGGGTCCATCTACCAATGTACCACCTACCAGAGACGGCGCGCAGCTCCAGCGGTGTCCGACCATTAGCTTGCGTGGCACCGACTGCATCTTGGTCTGCTATCGCGATGAGAAATTGCACGAGCGCTTGCGGCTGAGTCTCCTCACCAACATGAACGCCGCCGCGCTCGAATGAGGCCACCAAGTTTGTCGTCCACGAGCAGCTTATAGCGTCGGCAAAGGATGTTGCCGTCGGTCCAAGCAGGGGCAGTGCATAGCTACGTACACCACCCGAGACATGATTGTGGTGCGTTTAGAAGCCACATTTGCCTGTGACCCGTACTTCAAGGTTGACTGGACGCACGGCAGTACACTGTACTCGATTGATATCGATTCAGCACACTAGATGCGACGGATATATTTTATTATATCGCTGGCCATCTTTCGATACATCGGTCTGCAGGACTTCAATTGATTTTTCTCGGATCTAGCCTTTTATTAAATAAAACGACGGGCGGCGCCGATGGAGTAGCCCACGCTGGCCTCGTTGTCGAAGGCGTCAAGAGACCGGATGCATGCACGATGCATGCGTAGTATATTTCTCCACCGACCGCTCCTGCACCAACGTGAGGAAGCGCTCGGTCCCACGTCTTGTTGCGGATTGTATGTTTTTGGTTGCGGAGGAAACGATGCTGCCACAGCTGGGCTTCTATCGGGAGCAAGCAACGCGTCAACACCTCCAGCGGCGGTGAGACGGACCCATCATCAAAATGCATCGTTACATAGCGCCACAAACGAAACGGCCAAGCTGGGCTGTGGTCGAGGACGGCTTCAACAAGGGCTGTCTGTGCTTCTCTTCGGGCCGTACATCTACCACAGAGGTTGGAATGTCCAGCGCCAAACGCAGGCAGTGACACACTGCTATCAGTCGCTAGTGCGTGTATCACCGGTCGCAGCGTGGCTTCTCTATGATATTGAAGTACGTGTGCAGCCGCTCTGAAAGTTCTGGCTTCATATCCCGATGGAATGGAAGCCGCGACGGCTTTAAACGCCGCCTTCAACGTCGTCAAAGGTGCCGTGCAAGGAGATTGGACCAATAAACCTCGGGTCGGCGACCTGGTCCGGCAAATTTTGGGCGACCACAGGAGATTCCTTCTACAGGGTGCGACGCGTTGTCAAGGCGAGAGGCGTCCTCGAGTCGCAACGTGCACACATACAGCAGAGTTGCACGCCTTCGTCTTCTCATTAAAGTGGCATCGACATTTCCATCGACTAGTTCGACTCGTTGTACCAACGAATACAACGCGAAACACCTTCATATACAGGTAGTTGGGCAGAGCACTGGTCGTTCACACACAAGTGTAGTCCGACCCTCCTCGTCCGTTTCGTGTCTGGTGTGCAACGCCGATGAAAAGACGGTCGCACCGCGTCGACGCGATGCTTGCTCCCGACGGAATCGAAGCCATGCTCGGTGCGGTGTCACCGCAGAAAAAGATCGAAGATGAAATCCCACCAATCCGCGACAAGCACGAGAAGCAGCTGGGTTTGAGCGCCTCCTCGTTGAACGTTGGTGCAGTCAAGTCGGCCGTGCTTCGGGTCCCATGGCGTGTATCGATGACAGCTACGGACGATCGCTGTTGCGGAGTGAGGCCCATACGCGCCAAGAAGGCAACTGCAGCCACGCGGGTCGCTCACTCGCAGATTTGCAGCCTCAAGCGCCATGGCCACCACCGCCGAAGCCCTCCTCGAGGAATTCGAGGTACACGAGTGTTCGCGCTTCATCAAGTCCTCACTAGTTTCCTTTAGGCAGACCTTCAACACGATGGGGTCCGATGCGTGGTCGCCCAGCAGTTCGCCGGGCCTTTGCCTCCCATCGGGGCGGTCGTCCTTCCGGCCTTTTTCACGGTGACGCGGGACATGATTCGTGCCGCCAATCGTTGTCGCCGGGCAGAGCCGCTCGAGCATCCGGAAGAGGTCGCGCTTGAGCCCGAGCGTGTCTGGAATCGACTCGATCACGAGCGCTGGCTGCGCGGCCGCCACCTCTTCGAGCGTCGTTGCGGTCTGGATGTTGCTCACGGCGCGGCCGACCATGTCCTGCGCAACCGCGGCGGCCCCAACGGTCTGCCAGACTTTCGCGTCCTTGAGAACGCGGCGATTTTCACTAAGAAAAGATGCACGCTCAGTACGTCGCTTCTTATCTGGGTGAAAATCACCGCGTCCGCAAAGAGAGGTAAGTCTGGCAGACCGTTGTTGTTGAAGTGGGTCTTCTATTACAATAGATAAAACTATGCTAAATAAAATTGTCGGACTATCTTTGATGTGTGTACTCGGTTGAGGGACTTGATTTAGGCAGGCGAAGGCAGGAGCGCGATCCGCGGGACGAGGTGAAGTCGCGGCCACTCGTGTTGGGCGAGGAGCTGGTGAAGTCAACGAAGAGCAGGTTGCTCGGGCTCTTGGACGAGGCTGTGGTGCAAGTGCAGTTGAGTGACGCGTGCCGCCTTGACGGCAATCGTCTATGGACTTGGCAGCGGTAGGTCGGCGCGAAAGACGCG